GGAGCCGTGTCAGGCTGAGGCTTGGAGGCGGGTGTAGACCGATATCGTGTCAGGATGAAGCTTGGAGGCAGGTGTAGATGGCGTCGTGTCAGGATGAGGCTTGGAGGAGGGTGTAGACGGAGTCGTGTCAGGCTGAGGCCCGCAGGCGGGTGTAGACAGAGTCGTGGCAGAATGAGGCTTGGAGGCGGGTGTAGACAGAGCCGGGTCTGACTTAGCCATTGAGAAATCTGGACCAGGCTCTGGGGCAGGTGTGGCCACAGCGTGTGGCCCAGCTCTGGGGGTCATGCTGAGTGGGTCCGACCCTTGCTCAGTAGTGAGGACAGGTGTAGACAGATCCAGTCCTGGCCGGGCCACCTGCTCAGGGGCCGCTGCAGACTCCAGGCCCCGCTCACCCTGCCCGGCTCCTGATGTCCGCTCGGCCGACCCAGCTGAGGGGCCCTTCCCCCTGGACCCAGCTGGGCCTCGGACCTCATCAGGCCTGGCCGCAGAGAGCAGCGGGGAGCCCAGCGGGGGGGTGGGAGCAGAGCCCGCGGCACTCGAGCGCCCACCCCCCTTGGCACCAGCAGCGCGCCTCTTCTTTCGGCTGGGGCTTCGGGGCGGGGCTCCAGGGCTGCCGGGGGGCCTCTGGGGCAGAGGGCTGCCTCTGGGGCTGCGGCCCGGGGACTCAGGGCTCGGAGGAGGCTCACCGGGGGGCCGAGGGGCAGGGTCCCGGGGGGCTGGCCCCTGCAGAAGCCTCTGCATCGCGTCTTTGGAAGGCACCGACCCTTGGCGGGGCACGCTCTGGCCGGGAGCGGCGGCGCCCGAGCGGAGGGATGGCCGGGCTTCTGACTGTGCTGACGTGCTGGGCGTCTGCTGACCAGCCCCCAGGGCCAGGGCGGGCTCCTGCCAAGACCTGCTGACCAGCTGCTTCGTGGCCGCCTGGTCCTCCTCCTCAAAGCCAGGCCAGCCACTCCCCCCAAGCAGGGGCCGGGGCCCGGGGGGACTGCTGCCGCTGCTGTCCCCTTGGTCAATGTCACTGGACAGCAGCTCATCCCCAGAGGCCAGGCTGGCCTGCAGGAGACCACACTCCTCGGTAGCGGCTGAGAACTCAGCCCAGTCCTGGTCACTCAGCTGGACACTGTACTGGAAGTTCTCCATTTCGGTCAGCAGGGCGCGCAAGCAGCAGGGCCGGGGTCTTCACCCCCTGCCCGCCCGCCAGCACCCCTCCGCCCTGGCTCAGCACCGGGCCGGCATCTTCGTCCTAAAGGCCACTAAGCAGGATGCAGGCGGCAGCTGGCTGCTTCCTCCAGGGCCGAATCGCCGCAGCCCCACCGTCCCTGCTTGAGGCAACTCTACGACATGGGGTCACGTTCCTTCCACCAAACGCCTCTGGATCGGTGAGGGGCCCGAAGAAGCAGGATCCCCGTGCGTGGATTTTCAACCCCGGAAGTGGCTTTCCTTCACGTCTCCAAGCATCTGCTCAGCTGGGTCGGCCTTACCCTCCAACTTTCCTCCGGACAGGCCGACCTGGCTGTGGGGAGCCCTGGCCTGTCCCAGCATGCCCCAGGGGGCATTTGGCCATGGGGGCGGGGCCACAGTATCCAGCAGGTGACCAGCCTTGGGTGATGACCTTCCACTAGCCTTGCTGGGACAGGCCGCTGGGCTGCCTCTGAGCGCCCGCTGGTCACGCCGCTGCCGGCCAGGGTGTACGTGAGTCCCCAGGAAGGGCCTCGGGAGGAGGCCCCAGAACAGAAAGGAGCCTCCTGCCTCCCTCGGGCATCCTCAGGGTCTGTGTCCCCGACCCAGACGTGCCCCTTCCCCGCCCTGTCTCAGTGACCCAAGGTGACCCTGGCTGGAGCGTCTCCAATCCCTCAACCCTGTGGGGCTGCCCTTCCGTCTCTGAGATGGAGATGCCTGGACCCCAGGCACCGAGGCGGCTTCCTACCCTGAACTTCGCCCTCCTCTCTAGCTCTGGGGAAGGTCCCTGGGGGCTGTCTACCTCGGGGACCCCTCCGGGTGGGAATGGGGGGCTGCTGGTGTCGTACCTGGAACCCTGCAGCAGCCAAGCAGCAGCACTGGGCGTCCAAGCTGCCTGTCCAGGGCCCGGTGCTGGCTCGCCATGCAGCCCCACCCCCACGGCCAAAAATACCGTCCCAGGTCACATGTCTCCTGCCAGCCAGCAGGGTCCAGGCCACAAATAGATGGCATTTGAGGGGCCTCCAGCTACGTGAGGGACACCTTCCTGGTTGGGTCGGACGCTGGCCAGAGAATGCTGACCAGCAACCAGCACGTGGCTTCCCTTTGCCTGGCTGAGGGCTGCTCCTTCCTTTTAAAGGGACCCCACTACTGGGAGACCTTGCTCCGCCCCCCATCCCACCACCCTCTGCCCCCTGCCCCCCACGGCCAGTCCAGGATCTCTGGGTCTTAGGGCTTTGTCCTGATGCCTGTGGGGAATGGAGGGATTAGACTGACACGGTGGGAAATGATGGATTCTAGAATGTTCCTCCAGGACATTTGGAGGTGATCCACGCAGACCCCTTCCGGGCAGCACTGCCCATCCTGTTGGGAGTGTGGGGGACGCGTGGAGTTCTTGAAGGCTTCCCGTGGAGGGCACCCCAAATGGGCATGACCCCTGGGCCCCTGGAGAGCGTTGGGAGAGGTCAGCAAGGAAAAGGGGGTCACTCCCGCCAGCATCTCCCCACGTAGGCTCCTGGGGATGGGACCCCAGGCAGGGGTTCCAGGAAAGAGGGTCAGATGCCACCACCCCAGGTGACCCAGTCCTCAGGAGGGGGGCGGGGTGACATGCCTCTGAGACGGTGGCGAGCGGCAGCCCCTGCCAGGACCCCCCTGAGCACTTTGCCAAACACTGTCCACCCTGAGGGACACCTTCCTGGTCGGGCGGGGGTGCCAGGAGGACCTGCTCTCACAGCGGAGTTGGGTGCGGCCGGAGAGGGCGAGCCACACGGCCAGCAAGCGGCAGAGTTGGTCCTGAAGCCCCCTGCTGCTGGCGGGGCTCCCCGGCCACCCTGGGCTTGGGGCTGTGTTGCCTCCCCCCCCCCACTGGGAACACAGGAGGGAGCAGTGGGGTGGACAGCACAGCGGCACACGGGGAGGTAAGACCATTCCTGGCAGCCCCGCGTCATGGGCGGAAGCGAGAGCCTGGGACCAAAATCCTGTGAGAGGCTGAGGGACCGGACCCGGCCGAGCTGCGAGGGCAACAGTGGAGGCATCGCCGGGATGCGCCAGGACGGGCATTGAGTGTCGGCAAACGATTCCGCGTGACAGGTGTTCAGGAAGCGCTCAAGGGAACAGACGGCGTGGCCACCGCCGGACGCCCCGCGGGAAGGCTGGTGCTCCCGGGCGGTGAGCCTGGCCGGGGAGGGTCACCCCCCGCGCCTCCCCACATCTGCACTCCTGTCTCCTTGGCGCTCCTTCCGAGTCATGCAAAGCTCCGTGCCGGGTCCAGGCGTGGGCATTTCACACCCCGCGATGCCGCGCTCCGACTCCAGCCCCTCCTGACGCTGTCAGCCTGCGTGGAGCCTCAGATCCCAGGTTCAGGGCTCCGTCCGGCCAGGCTGCCCCCGTGGACGCCAGGCCCCCGGACATCGGTCTGACTTGGCACAAACCGGAGGTTCCCATGGCTGCTGCCCCGGGATTAGCAGGAGTGGCTCGCAGAACTCGGGGAAACACCGCATTTGCCAGCTGATTATAGAGAGGTGACAACGGACGCAGGTGATCACAGGGTGGAAGCGAGGCGCTGGGCGTGGCACGTGGAAGGGGCGGGGCTTCCACCAACCCGCGGCTGCCCTTCCCACTCACCCTGAGCCCACCCGGCAGGGTCCTGCGCAGATGGTCATTCACTGTGGGGTCAGCCCTGTCCCCGCTCACGGGAATGCAGGGCTTGGTTTCTGTGGGGACCAGGCCTCACCAGGAGCCCAGCAGAGCTGCTCACGGACGAGAGACTGCCGGTGCCCCTGCCACCCAGGACATGACACCGGGAGCTCGGTGCCAGGAGCCGGGGCAGAGACCGATCTGTACAAATTCTGTTATCTCACGGCCACGTCCTTCCCTCTCCCACGGTCACTGTCCTGCTGGAGCCGGGGATGGGGGGCTGTGGTGACCAGCCAGGAACATCCTGTTGGCCAACGGGTGTCCGTGGTTTTGTAAAGTGTGTGGGTCAGAGGGCGAGGCGGGCCTGCCCAGCGGTCCTCCGGCTGGTCCTGCGCTCACCAGGGCTACAGTCTGGGGCCGTGTGCCCCGCGCCTGCTGTCCTCCGGGCTCATACCGCCGTAACAGCACAGCTACTGGCCATGCAAAGCTCGGCCAGCAATGCCTCCCAGGCTTACCCTTTTTAGCCTGTCGTAGGTGGTGGGCTCCACAACTTTGGATTGCATCTATGAAGTTGCCCTGTGATTCCTCTTGTGTCCTTTTCATCTCTTCAAGGTGCTTTGGGAAACAGAAATTTATTTTATTTATTTTGATGAACAGCAATTAAATGGATAAAATTCAAATTTTAGCACAAGCCAAGTTGTCAGCAGTCTCCTTGGTGGTGATCACTTTTCTGTTCCCTCAAGTCGCCTGCCTGCCCCAAAGCCTTGCAGGTGGAAGGTGGCTTGCAGGTGTGAAGAAGGCTTCCAGGTGTGAAGATGGCTTGCAGGTGTGGGGAAGGCTTGCAGGTGTGAAGAAGGCTTGCAGGTGTGGGGAAGGTGGCTTGCAGGTGTGAAGGTGGCTTGCAGGTGTGAAGGTGGCTTGCAGGTGTGAAGGTGGCTTGCAGGTGTGAAGGTGGCTTGCAGGTGTGAAGATGGCTTGCAGGTGTGAAGAAGGCTTGCAGGTGTGGTGAAGGTGGCTTGCAGGTGTGAAGAAGGCTTGCAGGTGTGAAGAAGGCTTGCAGGTGTGAAGGTGGCTTGCAGGTGTGAAGAAGGCTTGCAGGTGTGGGGAAGGTGGCTTGCAGGTGTGAAGGTGGCTTGCAGGTGTGAAGAAGGCTTGCAGGTGTGAAGAAGACTTGCAGGTGTGAAGGTGGCTTGCAGATGTGAAGAAGGCTTGCAGATGTGAAGGTGGCTTGCAGGTGTGAAGATGGCTTGCAGGTGTGAAGAAGGCTTGCAGGTGTGAAGAAGGCTTGCAGGTGTGGGGAAGGTGGCTTGCAGGTGTGAAGGTGGCTTGCAGGTGTGAAGAAGGCTTGCAGGTGTGAAGAAGGCTTGCAGGTGTGAAGAAGACTTGCAGGTGTGAAGGTG